AAAAAAAATGTGACGTGAAAAAAGCGAAGTGGATGTGAAAACTTAAAAAATAAGAATTATTAAAAGTCACGTATCGAAAAAGAAAAAATCACCTAACAACTGGCAACAGAACATGTACCTAAAAACTACACAATTCATGATGGTCGTAATTTATACATTTTAAAGTACTTTTTCATGAGGCTTGTGTATAAAACATGGGCAAGCATACTAAGCAAACATGAAGTTTTCGTGCCGTATTATAACAATATCAGTTGAATCCCACAACTTTTATGTAGCAAGTTTCTCTACAAATGTATATACAGAAGTAAGTAATTACGAAACACCAAATTACAAATTCTGAACGCTGAGTGATAAAAACCAGTGAAAAGTTAAAAACGACGAATCAACAAGGGTAACGTGCATTAAAGTGTTATTAAAACGCTTCATGAACAAATCTTTTAAAAGCTCAAAGCCAATATATTATACGTATCAATATTAAAATATGAACTAACTAGTACAGTACAATTACAGAATTAAATAGAATGGGAGCATGTATAGTACATATAAAACTATGAAACTTTTCCAATAGCATGAATGTCGAGTATTAGAGACTGTAGTGTCGAGTATTAAAGACTATATAATATGTACATCTGGGTTTTGAACTAGATTATTGATATTTCTATATGTTGCTTCGTGGCAAAATTTGTCATTAAATTCGTTATGGCCCCAATTTTGCATCGTTTATTACAGTATTATATATTTTGAAACTCATGAAACATTGAACGTTTTCCCCTGTTCTGATTGGCTAAAGTCATTTGAAAACAGTAATCATTTTTAAAATTCTTGGCCTGAATTTAGGATCGTAATCCTTGCTAACATTAATTTTTTAAATACTATATAATTTTGGCCAAATCCTTTTATTTATACAAGCGCAAGATACACATTTAATTAAAGATAATTCAAATTACCTTTGTGAAAAATGGCAGCACGTGGAGGTGTAAACTCGAAGGGTGAAGTCGCACCTCAACCTGTCAAAGTTCAACGATATTGGCCCGGAAAAGTTCCGGAAGGAATACATGATTACTCTTCGGAAGAAGAAGAAGAGGAACAATTCGAAAGAGAAAGGGAAACCGAAATTATAACTACTATTGAAAAAGTAGATATAACGGAAAAAGATGCTGCTTCAGACCGCAGACTAAGAAGGTTAAAAGAGGCCAAGGAAGCTGGATCTTCTGAAGTAATTGATAGAAGACGAAGACATTTTAAAGAAGAGGAACAAGATGTCAGAGATCAACAGTTACGTAAAGTGGATCAAGATGCTGAAGTAATCTTAGAGGAGGAAGAGGATGATTTAGCACTTCGTCGACAGCGTTTAAGAGATCGTGTATTAGAACAACGAAAACAAGAAGAAGAGCAATTAAAGGTTATAGAAGAGGCAGAAAAGGCTCAGGCCACTCAAACAGAAGAGGAGGTAAGTTATCAATCAGTT